CCCTGAATATCTTCTCTAGAGTGGTCCCATTATTTGCTAAGTGCTTTACACCTTCCAATTGCAGTGTTACTGCAGGACAGCCAGGCATTTGACGACTTCTTGACCCTTGATAACGAGGAACTCGAGGTGGTCGATGGATTCACTTACCTTGACAGCTGCATCAGCACCGATGGGCGCACAGAAACTGAAATCTGTCCCCGCATTTCAATAACTATAACTGCCTTTTTGAATGTGCGGTATCTTTGACGACGGAAAGGAGTTCCCTTCCTTCTGAAATGCTGTGTTTACAAGGCCATAGTGAGGGACGTCCTGTGCTATTGTTTTGAGACTTGTCCCCTTAGCTCTGATGAGATGAGGTGCCTTCAAGTCTTCGATCATCATTGTCTGCGGAGCATTGCTGGTGTCGGGTGGCACCAGCGTGTCCGCAACGATGATGTTCGTAGGCGAGTACTAGGTAGTGATACTCAAGTTGTTTCGTTAGAACAATAGGTAGCACTGAGTAGGTTGCGTTTTGCTTGTGCACGTACTACGCATGTCTGGTCATCACTTGCGGAGAAGGGCCTTTTTTTGTTTGCCAAATATAGGTTGGCGCAAGGCTCGAGATGGACAAGCTTTGACTTGGCAACGGGAAATGAAGTCATTGACCTCGAAACTTGGTGCGTCGGTCCGTCTCGCCTTCCGGGCCAGATTCCAAGTGATTCGCCTTGTGCTTGGTTTGAGGCTTTACTGGTTATGGCTTGCATTCGACACCGGTGGCGGATCTGCTGCCGTCTCCCAGTCATACTGCCTGTTTAAATAGTGTTTAGTGCTCAGTTTCTGCGGGTTTATGGCTGATTATGACACGGAACGGTGAAAACCGCAACGAAGCTCTCTCGCTGTTGCTGCCTTATCTTTGCATGGTAGTCCGCTGTTTGTGACGGTATGTTTTTAACACAAGGTGTGTAGATACCTTGACCGTGAATGTTTACTTAGAGCCTTATGATTTTCCGGTAAGTCCGGTGAGTCATGTGGGTGGTGTACTGATTTTGTTATTGATGAGGTTGATGATGTTCGTAGCACAGATGATGGAGAACTCGCTTCAGAACTGAAACTGGCAGTTTGTGATGATGTCCGCTTGTACTGCAAAGTGTACGCAAGTGGAGCAGTGGCCTCAGCATGGGGAAAGTCACCTAGATGTAGCACACGGTAGGTCATGCTGAGGTCGGTGTGCCAATGTGTATGGTCCTTAGCTCTCGCACCTGTCCTCCTACGGTGAGCCCCGCGAACTGGGAATGAACCTGGTTGCAACGTGTTGAAGACACTCAATCTTCTGCGCTTTACCTGGACTGGCTGGGCAGTTGGCGTGCGAGCTGTACTCTAGCAGTGGTCTGGTGATGGAGGGAAAGTGGCGAGTGTCAACCTCTTCAGACCCGATGCAGATGCTGCGCTTGGGTGACCAGGATATGTACAGTCTGTTTCGGTGTAGCCTATTCGTGTTGTCCACAGACTTCAACTGGCAAAGTTAGAGTACGCCTAGGCCCTTCATAGAAGGTGTAGGATGTAGTAGTGTACCCTTCAAAAATATAGGTTCGGCTGTCACCATACTTCTCCAGCCTCGTGAATACCGATTTGGATGGGTTGACCAGAATGCGGACTTCTGCAGACCACATGAAACGGCGGTTGGGGTCTCGCTGAAGTAGACTGCAGTGGTCCGGTGCTTATCACTCTCCACATTTTCAGGTAGTCAGCAAACAAAGTACCCAGCGACCGAAGAAACTGAGGCAGATCCTTGAAATATATCAGGAACAATGTAAGTCATAGCACCGGGTTTTCGGGTACGCCATTGGTTGAAAGGTACCAGTCGGTCAGATGGCTACCGACCTGTTCCTTCCACTTTCGTCCAACGAGAAATTCGCGGATCCACCGGTACAGTGATCCACTAACGCCGTACACTCTCAGCTTGAGGAGGGGACCTCATGGTTTACCTTGTCGAACGCTTTGCTGAGATCGCTGTTGATTACGTCGATAGACTTCATCTGGTTCACTGCTTGCAACCACTTAAGCCCCGTCGCGAACAGGTTGGTGATGCATGAACGGCGTGGCACGAAACCGGGCTGTGCCAGCGTCAGAAGATGTTTTGACCGGAATATCTGTAGTAAACGCTTTCTCACAATCTTCTCGGCAACGTTTGACCAAACAAATCAACCTGTAGTTGTCTACCTTGCTGGGGTCACCGCCTTTCGGAATCAGCCTTACTACCGAGCATTTCCAATGAATACGCATTGAACCTTCGGACAAGAGGCCTGTTGAACACGTCAGTTACGGCAAGCGAGATGATGACCGATAAGGAGTTGAGAATCAGGAGGTGGAGCCCATCAGGCCCAGCAGGTTTGGTGTCATCAAGGTTGGTGAGTAATTGACGCACCTCTTCTACACCACGTTCCGGACTGTCGAGTTCGGTAAGGACAATGCATGCCGAACTCAGTACAAACACCTGGTCATTCGCAATGTCAAAAACAAGGTGCGCCACCAAGACGGTTAGGGGCTGTCGGTACAAGCCCTCTATCACTGCTAGGTCACCTGTCGGCTTCAGGCGCCGATTAACGTACGTCAAGATTATCTTCAGAACGGTGTTTGCTGCGGTTGCAAACTGCACTTCGGAATTCCTGTGCTTGTTTCTTTTCGCACTGTTGCGGATATTTCGCTGCTTTTTATACACCCCCTAGTCGACGACCGAGCCAGAGACAGGAATCTATCCCACAGCCTGCACCGTCGTCGAGCCAGTTTACCATTTTTCTTGTCGAACCAATGTGGCATCACCGGTCCTATTTTCTAACCCTTGAGAGGCACAAGTTTACTCCATGCTTTATAACTGACCAACAACATTCGTAAGTGGTTGCTGCTTTTGCAAGCCACGCGAAATACTTGAATCGGTACTTTGGCATTAGGGTTGTCCGATTCCCTTGTTTCTTACTAGATATTATCGTGGACTACTCCGGAGTGAATCCTCATGATTGGAGCATCGCATTACTCTCCAGAGTATAACTGGCTGATTTAGATTCCACAGACGACATCACCTTACTCCTTTACAATTGTGAACTGACACGATAAACGCTTTGACTTAGCCCCACCACTTATAATTCGTTTTTTACCTTCAAAGTAATATGTGCTACTGCCTAACCCCAAGCCACTCACTATCCCTCTGACTGCTGACTGTAGATAGCCGATCGATCCACTTGTTGTTGCAGCCACATTGATAAAATCGGGCTAATGCCTACTAGAACTAGCTCATTTACTACAGAAGCCAAATATATATTCATGAGTATGCAACACTTATGACAAGGAATTTTTCTTTTATCCTAATGCTCGTTTTTTCGCTCATGGTGAATAGCGTTCTCCTCTACGGTAGTAAGCGATGGTTCATTTAGTCTGAGAGCGTGCAGCGCCTTCAGATTTTTGATCATCGTTACTTTCTCAACATTATTAGGGTCGGTTGGCACCAGTGTGCCGGCGTCGACGTGTAAGCACTATGCGGCATTGTTCAGCATATGTCCACAGGTGAAGCACCGGGTACAGAAGTGACTAACTCCGATGGATTCCAAACCATCGTCATCGAGCGCTTGTTTTTGTAACACACGCGGTGGTGAGTCTATAAACCAAGCGGGTTCCGTAAGCCACCATCCTGGACACGTGGGGCCGGTATCCGAAAGACGTCGTGCCAACTGTTTACCTAAGCATAATCAGCGCAGCGCTTGGTAGGTGCGATGCGTCCGCCATCATTCGTTTTACTAACCCAAACCAATAAAACGCCTAATGTGGTACGTGTTCCGCATGGTTATGGAGATTGATCTGCGCGTGTGCATGCGTGTTTAGTTTATTGCATTTCAGTGGTGGTGGTTTTTGATTGTTACCCCCGGTGTGGCTGCGCTCGATGTGAATGTTGACAAGGTGCCTACCTGTCTATTACCCACCTCCTCGTCTATACTTGTTCCAGGAGATAGTTGGGCGTTGCTGCAGTGGACGGGGTGCACGGTGTTCATGACTGTATTAGGCTCAAAGAGTAGTGTAATGCACGTGGTTTATGTTTGGAGCCAGCTACGTTCCAACCATTGCCTTCTGTGCGCTTGGTTCCCCAAATACAGCGTGCTTGTGTTTGCCTGTGAAGGAGTGTGGGCCGGTTCCGTTGATGAAACGTGGCTTCCATCCACATGCATCCCGGTCTTATTCCTTCAGGTTTACACTGGATAGGGTGTGTGTAGATGGAGCAGCAGTGGGCGGTGCAGCACGATCCACCTATGATCCCACAGTAGGCGCAGGCGTCCTGTGACTGTCTACTGGAGGCCGTAGTGACAGGCAAATTCGTACGTCGGTACCGCCCATCCATATGTTTCCATGGATGCCTAGCCAACTCATGGAGGTCATGCCGCCTGTTAGTGAGTTTTTTTCATCAGCATTTTTGGTTGCGCTGTTTGTTTCTTTTTATTGTGATCCTACTTCTTCATGTACTTTTCGAGGTTTTGTTTGGGCTATCTACCGTCCTCACTGACCAAGTTTTCCGCACGAAACGCATACCTGGTGAGACCGTCGTGCTTCGCAGTCCGTGTAATATTTACTGTCTTCTAGTCCGATCGACAAATTACCTGAAAATGTGCAACGATGTTTTGTGATTACGCACTTTGTTGCCAATAGCTACTGACCTATGATGGGTCTCTCTAATGGGCTGGCTTGTCTCCCTTATAACATGTCTCAGAGGAGGTTCGATCTTTCGTGTTGCAGTGGTTTGTGGATAGCTGCAAGTTCTCTCATCTCGTAAACACGGATATACCGGTACATAAACCCCCCCCCATCTGACATGCAGGAGTTAAACGCTACAAAGGGTCCACGTCGTTTCATGAGTTCTTCTTTCAATATGCGCTTATTTTTCCTAGACTGAAATTTGTTTACATTTGATTCCTTTAATTTCGTAAATTGTTCGAGGACTAATTCTCATATCAATGTCGATCTTCTCTCCATGCGATTAGGAATGCAACCGAAAACAATTTCGGTCAAGCTTCATCGGTCCCTCTCCTCGGCGTTGTGTCCGTGTCTACGACCGTAAAGATATCTATGGAAAGATTAAATCTCACACTTTGAACAAACGGCGAACGAAGAAGCAACTATTCGAGAAGGCTGCGAGAGACGCTGCGAAGCGAGGGGTTGTTACGGCCCATGGTTCAAACAGGCGTCATATACGCGAGTTGCCCCATCATCTATTAAGCCAGTCTTTGACCCAAGTAGATGCTACAGAGGAGATGTGTAAGCCACTTTACTATTTGTTGTCTTAATGTCTCTAGTAGGTGACACCTTTATTTTAAGCGACAGATCATGCCGCATTTACATATGGTTTGCTGACACTAGCCCAATATATTTTATGTGCGATGTGACCAAGACTAACGCACCTGGCTTATCATGTCCCCGAGCCATCTGTTTTAATTTGATCACTTAGCCCTATCGCTTCCAGGTCCAAATATCACCAGTTGTTATACATTATCTTTTCCTAATCAACCGGCTGCTACAGGCATGGTGTCGATTTCTTACAATATATATATATATATACATATATATATATATATATATATATATTCAGCACCAAACACCCGTTAAACAGACAGCCCGACAAGGAAACGGCAGCAGACGTGCCACTGGCGTCGACTGCGAGGCATGTCCTGTAAGGTTTCGAGATAAGAATAAGGCGAGTCACATGGACTCCAGCCTGGAAGGTGAGTCGGACCAACAGCACCCAGTTTGGTCATCAGTGACTTCATTTCCCGCTGCTTAGTCAACTTATGTACATCTCGAGCCATGCACCACCCTACACTTTGCATACTAAAGAAGCCCCTCCTAATTAAGCGATGACCAGGCATACGTAACATGTGCCAAAGCCAATGCAACTTATTCAGTTCTATCTGTTTTTCTAGGGAGCTAGCATGATTATCACTACCTAGTACTCGCCTACGAACATCATCGTTGCGGACACGCTGGTGCCACCCGACACCAGCAATGCTCCGCAGACAATGATGATCGAAGACTTGAAGGCACCTCATCTCATCAGAGCTAAGGGGACAAGTCTCAAAACAATAGCACAGGACGTCCCTCACTATGGCCTTGTAAACACAGCATTTCAGAAGGAAGGGAACTCCTTTCCGTCGTCAAAGATACCGCACATTCAAAAAGGCAGTTATAGTTATTGAAATGCGGGGACAGATTTCAGTTTCTGTGCGCCCATCGGTGCTGATGCAGCTGTCAAGGTAAGTGAATCCATCGACCACCTCGAGTTCCTCGTTATCAAGGGTCAAGAAGTCGTCAAATGCCTGGCTGTCCTGCAGTAACACTGCAATTGGAAGGTGTAAAGCACTTAGCAAATAATGGGACCACTCTAGAGAAGATATTCAGGGTTGATTGTGCGGGCCGCAACATCATCACAAAGCAAGACGATATCGTCCGCATAATCAATATCAGTTAGCCTTTCACTTGGCAGGACCTCGACGCCTGCGTTGTGTGATTCCGCAAAGGAACACTTCATGATGAAGCCGAAGATGAAATTGAACCAAAGCGGGGGAATTGGATAACCCTGACGAACGTCACTTGTTGTCGGAAAGCTCTCCGACAGGGCACCGTAGACACGGAAGCGGCCAGTAGTGTTCCAGTACAGAGATCGTAAGATGTTCACACTTCTCGTGGAAACACCTTTCCGCGCAAGTAGTTCGAACAGAATGCATCGATCTACCGAATCGAACGCACTCTTGAAATCTAGGAATACAGCTATTGTCGGTTTGCGGTATGCATGGCGATGCTCTATAACCTAGCGGTGCTTGAAAATATGGTCTACTCAACGCTAACGTGGGTGAGCATCGGCCTTTATTTCTCTAATCCCGTATTCCCGTTCCGCAATGAGGCGACGAACGAGTATTGAGGCCAGTAATTCTGTCAAAACTGTCGTTAGGCTAAAATCCCTGTGGTTAGCACAATCTGCGCGACTGTCCTTCTCGTATATTGTTACTGATCGATTTACTCCAGTTAGCCGGGACGGTTTCCTCCTTCCATACATGTTCGAACAGGAGGTCAGTGCTTTGCAGAGGACCTCACCTCCATTCTCAAATTGTGCGGATGTGAAGGATTCCAGGCCAGTAGCAAGAAAACGATTGATTGCTGTGATCGTGTCTCGGACCTCGGCCTCCGATGCCAGCTCTAAACTGACTCTCGATAACTCAATCTGCATCACCTGAGTAGGAAGAAGTCCGGAAGCAGGGGTCCATCTGAATTGGTGTTGAAAGTGTTTTGCCCAACGAGCCATATGGTGCTCTTTATTGTGAGACTACCCGCGCAGTCTTTGGATTGTCTCACTGACGCTTGTTTTGCTGGGACCAGTGGTGCGGATCAGCTGGAAAAGTTTGCGGTCGCTTCCTACTGCTCCATTTCTTCAGCGTGAGTGGTCCAACAAGCACGTAGGCTCTGCTTCAATTCGCGAATAATAGTCTGTCTGGTCACATTGTGCTCAGAGCCAGACGGGAGGTTCCTTCTGGAATCCAACAGGTTTATCGACTTTGACTGTTGTGATGAACATTGATTATGCCACAAGCAGATGCTCCTGCGTTGTGCATGACGACCGAGATCCTATTCCATTGAAGCTCTGGGTCATTAGGACAAGACAGCGAAAGTTCGTTACGCAGTGCAGCTTGGAAGGCTTGCCTGACCGAGAGTTGAGATGACTTCTTAGTTGCCAATCGAGGGAGACGCTTGGCGCATCTATGGGTAAAGTTCATGGAGAAACGACAGCGTACCGTGTCATGACCAGAGTAGACGCAGTTAAACCAGAACAAGCGGCAATCCAGGATGGAATCACACCAAACGTAACTTATGGCAATGTGATCAATTTGGGTCCATCGCTGGCCAGCTACAAAAGGACGCCACGTGGCACTTCGGCGCCCACTGTGTCCAAAAGCGGTGCTGCTAAGAAACAACTGGTGCTCCACACAAAGTTGCAACAGACGCTCGCCGTTATCAGTCAGTCCGGAGTTAGGCCAGTATGTACCACCTAGCTGAGCTTCTGAAGAGCCCAGGCAACCTACTTATGCATTCTTATCCCCAACAATTATTATGATATCTGAACTGGTGGCATTGGCGGTAGCATTGTGTGTCCATGGCAGCATCCGAACTGCAGTCAGTGGGAGTGTAAGCGGAAAACATAAACAGCCAGCGTCTTAGCTATTTCGTGAATCAACATGACTTAATGTCATCAAACGGGCGGCACACAAACGGCTGTTGACCGGAATCCAATCAACCAACGATGGCCCAGCCTTGGAGCTGAGTACGATAAGCTACCCCAGCTTGACCTGTGAGTGCTGCCTCAGTATCTCCGGATGCGTGCAACCAACAGCGAGAGGACAAGCCGGACGCAGTTAATTCAACAACTTCATTAGAGTCATTGATCCTGGTTTCGGACACACAACCTACGTCAATACCCAGTGTGTCCAACATGAGTGCGAGTGCAGCCTGTTGACTTATTTATTTTTGTGTGCGAACGGTGAACGTCGCCGGGGAAGCGGAACAGCGTGGCCTTCTAAGGCAGGATTACGGTGAGGATATTGAAGCTGAGGGGTTATGAGGTTAGTCTTCTGTGTTATGTAAAAGTTTCAGATATATTTATCTAGCTCGATAGTTTGTGTGACTTGAAAGGCCGTTCATTTACGGTAGATGAAGAAGGGATGCTTTGTTCACTCAAGACTAACGGAGGGTAGGTATTTTCGAGTGAACTCTGTGTCGAGACATTAAAGAGAACGTGACATCACAACACTTAGGAGGGTTAATGGAGCGGGACCTGAGGCTTAAGCAAACTTATTGTTCGTCTAATCCTCGTTTGGAGTTTTCGGGATTCCTCAGTTACTGTGGTTTTACACCTTAGGAGGACGTCATCAACATGTTTACATCCGATGAATCTTGACGGTTTTGACAGACATTCATCATATAGGGAATGCAGATAGGGGTTTATATTACCCTTCTAAAATACCACAATTGATTGGGAGTGCCGTAGAAATTCCATCTCGTAGCTGCTTGTGGTGTGTAGTGTGTACCATCTGTACACATTTCTTAAATCACGCATTACATTTCATACATGTGGGGAGATTCGGTTTTCAAAGGTATTGTTATTATCGAGGAAATGGAGCCGTATGGTCATGCTTCATGTATCCAATGTAGGTGAAATGGGATGCAAGGATACGAAACGGTATCCAGTGTGGAGCACCCCCCTGGCTTGTATGCAAACCGTTTGATATCATCCGTATACTCGCTCATGAAGTGCAAGGGGTATTTTATAAAGTATCAACACGGAGGTGCGCGCTATTGGCCGATACTTCTGTGATTCCTTCTTTGGCAGTGATGCTATTCTGGCTGCTTTCCAGTTGTCTCGTATGGTTAAACACCGGTCGAAAACTCTATCAGAGGTGCCTGTAGTGCATCCGCGAACTTTTTCATAGGGAATGGGAACGGCATCAGGACCATTTGCCCGGTGTGGTTTAATTGGGTGCGGAGGATCAGTGATGGGTAATGAAGATAGAGAAAGTGTGTTCTATGATGAGATGCTGAACTTTATGTTGAGCTTATTCACACCCGCGGTACCGAATGGGCTACTGGAATGTCTGCAGGAGAGTTGCTTCAAGAGCCTCCACGGATCACGGCAACAGTGATTTCCAAAAACAGTTTCACTGTGCATACTCTCTAACCTTCTTATTTCGGCTTTTATATGGAGGGGCGAACATTTGGCATGCCGTTTATCTACATTATCATTGTTTATATTCCAACGATGTTCGAGCAGCGAAGTTGAACATCTCCGGTTATGTGATAAGATGATCTTATTTAGGAAACACAGCTTGAAACAAATGTTGATCTCCTCTGCGAGGTACTTGTTTTAAGCCGAAAAGACGTCATTTGCTTATGTAGTGTGATCGCTTAAATAAAATGTTAATTCGAGCTGTCTAGTATCTTCTGTTGAACAGTTTCGCCGTTTGTCGTTTTTTTATTATCTTTTTGTCACTGCAGCGTGGTTGGCCTTGCATAATTCTTGTAGCATGTCTTTGCGATACAGTGGTGCGAGTTGCCATGCGATGCACGGCTTTGTGTTTAAACAGGTTGCGTGTGCGTAACTACTGACTTGAAATGTGCATTGAATCTGGTGGTGAATTCCGCTAAGTTGATTAGGCCCAGTTTGTTATTGAGAATTGGGTACTCCTATTGAAGTCACCAGCGATGATGCAGATAGA